GGCGTTGCTGGCTGGGGAATTCTGGGAGTTGAAGTCCACCCATCTTAAAGTTGCCAAGTTTGAAAAACACTGATCTAGCCACTTCATTGCATCTCACAAAAGCATCTACTTTTTAATAAAATATGTTATTTGGAACTGGGGATACTGGACTCTTGATTTCCAGAGTGCACAGCTTCCTCCGAGGCCTGTTCGTAGCTTCCTCCGTGCAGTGGCCAGGCAGAGGCGACAGTGCATTACGCAGCCATGTTCCAGGGCAACTGCAGAAATCTTGCTGGTGCAAAATGCTTACGGTTGTCCTGTGCGGTTTTCTGCTCTTCGGCTTTGCTTCAGAAAGAGAGGAGGCAGAGGAAGTTGCAACGGTGCAATCTTGCATCCAGGGTGTTTCTTGCATCCCACTAAGTCTGTCGTGCCGGGCTCGGCTTCAGAGATTTGCACACACCCTGCTGCATCTCACTTGCAAAACGAATTTGTGTATTTTAATTAATTAATATGTATTTATTTTAATTGATATTTATTCTGTTTTTACTGTCAACTGCCCAGAGTTGCTCTGTAGTGGGATGGGCGGTGACAAATTTGAAATATAAATAAAAAATAAATAAAAATGGATAACCGCTGGCCCTTTCCAGCAGCCTTATCCTCAGGATAAAAGATCTCCCAGCATAATTATCTCTTTATTTACACCCATTCCCTTCCAAGGAAGCTGAGAGAACATCTGTGGCTCTTTTTCCATCTGCCTGGATTTTTCTGCACAACACCCCAGCAGGATAGGCTAGTCCAGCTATATAAATAATAAGTTATTAAATTAATAATAAATGAAGAAAATAAATTTCAGCCAAATTCCTAGTTGCCTGGGCATTTGAACCCTAGGCCCTTGAAAAGCGATGAGATATGGATAGTCTGAAACTGAGATTGTGTGTTTTTTAAAGGCAGGCAGGTTATTATTTTAGGTTAGAACAGTAAAATTTCAAAAAGGACAGCTCCATCTATAGAAAGCAGCCGGCGGGGAGCGTCCCGAAAAAGGCTGGCTGAATAACTTGGCCAGAGGAGCAGGGTCTGAGGAATAAGTTAGCCACCCGTCCTCACTGAGGTCTCCCGCCTTCGGAAGTCCAACTTCTGCTAACCGCTTCGGCTCAGAACAACAGTATTGGGGCGGAGTTCCGAAGAACGCTTGTTTATCCTTTTGATTTGCGTGCGCGTGTTTGTGGGTCATTTCTAACTACTTATTTTCTTCGCTCAAATTAAAAAAAAGTACTGTAAATATCAAGATGGCGCCCAAGGCGATTCCCCTCTCCCCGTTTCGGCAGCTTTTCGCCCTCAAACTTTCCCGCGCGCGGACTCTTTTTCCCTCTCTCCCGGTTTGCCCCGCCCACTCTTTTTTTTGCGGCGGAGGGAGACGGAAGAAGGCGCTTGAGCGAGGCGTCCTATAAGAGCAGCTGCGCCGCGCGGAAGTTTCGCTAGTCGCGGCCGGACGCCGGTGGGGGAGGCTGGAGTACCGCGCGCGGAAGACGCGAGGGGCGGCAGCGGCCTAAGGCAGAGGACTCCTCCCCGCGCTCCCTTTCTCCCGAAATACCTGAAGCTTTCAGCAGCGGGAGGAGCTGTAGCTTTCCCCTCATCCCCCTTTTAGGCTCTACAGCCTTGGCCGCTTTTTAGAGGAAGGGCCACCTGCCCCCAAAGCCGGGGCAGATGTGGGGGCCAGGATGTAAGAGGGTGGACCTCTGGGGGGATGAACTCCCTCACCTTTTCCCCTCTTAATTCTCAGGCCGGCTATAGTTCTTCTTCCCCCTTTAGGAATATTTTAGTTTCCTTTCACCTTTAAAGCGTTTCTAATTCCCTCTGTCGGCTCTCTTGCCCACCAGTATCTCCCTTCAGCAAAAGAAGAAAAAAATCCCTCCGTCTCCCCCCCCCCCAACCCCTCCTCACATCAACCATCTCACATTTATCTCCTCAATACGATGGCTTTTTTTT